GTTCATAAACATCCTCTCCGTTATAGCGGCACACGAAGCGAAAGGTCGGTCTCAATAGTTTATTGCGCTTGAATTTTGCGGCACTCATCAGCATCCTTCTTGTTCCCTGCAGTCGTCGTCGTTGAGTGAAGAAAAGTAAAAAGAAGAAAGAGTAGGCTACTCACAAGAACTGCATGTGTATATAGTTTGTAGGGAGTTGTGGTGTTCGATCAACACAGCAATGGGAGTCGCTTGAGAATGCGCAAGGGCTTAGAGAGGAAAACGTTTGATGAAAATAAATGATCAGAGGTGAAGAAAAAGAAGCAAATATATATACTACCGCGTTACAAAGGTCGAATGCCATTTAAAAGTAAAGAAAAAACGCCCTATACAGTCACCGCTGTACGCAGATTGGGTCTGACGAAAAAGCCACGTCGGCCATACCCAAACTACATCGCTCGAGACAAAAGAGCCAGAGTGCCAGTTAAAAAGCATACTGTGCGATGATTTCGATGTACAGATAGTGTGATGGAACTGCATCCTTGTAATCTGTGGGAAACGATGTATTGGGCCAACCGGCAGATGCGTAAACGATCACTTGCGCAAACACAGCGACAACGCTCGCCAGAACAAGTGCGCGCACATGGCTCTCCATTGCAACACGTGCAAGACTGCGTGCAGGAACAAGTCGTACAAACCACTGCTGCATCGGTGCTGGTTGTTGATCGAGGCGAAGCAGGTCGCGGATTTGATGTAGAATAGCTGAGATCGCCAGCTTAGATATGAACTGTACGTAGTTAAGCTTTTCTGATGACTAATTTCATTTTGTTTTCGTGCGTATGATTGAGACACGTGATAACAATAATATCTGGGTTTTACACCCTGAATGATTGATTTAAATGTGGCGTTTAACGCCCCAAAAGCACCACATGATTACGAGAGACGCCGTAGTGGAGGGCTCCGGAAATTTCGACCACCTGGGGTTCTTTAACGTGCACCCAAATCTGAGCACACGGGCCTACAACGTTTCCGCCTCCATGGGAAATGCAGCCGCCGCAGCCCCCGCGACCTGCGGGTCAGCAGTCGAGTACCTTAGCCACTAGACCACCGCGGCGGGGCGGAGTTTAACACCCTAAAGCCACGATATGATTATAAGACACGCCGGAGGGGAGGGGGGCGAATGTGTTTCAGAAATTTCGACCATTTGGTGTTCTTTGAGGTGCACTCGCATCGTACAGTACACCATGGCCTCTACCATTTCGCCCCCATTGAAATGCGTCCGCTGGGGCCGGGATCGAACCCGCAACCTTCGAGTCTGCAACTGACACATGTGATGTAGGCTCTCCTATTAGATATTATTACGTGCTACTTTTGGTTGTTGTTTCTTGATGTCGCCGTTTTCTTACGTTTCCTTGCATTTCTATACTGTAAATTACGCATGTCGAACAGTGCTTCGTCTGTGGACTTCTTCGTGCCCACAGTTGCCCCGTTGAGTTATTATGAAAGATGTACTATTTCAAATACGTGTAAAAATACTTTTGCGCAATCCAATCGTTTTGTCCTAGACACCAAAACACCTCGGGAAGACATATTGCCTTACTACACAATATATATATATATATTGTCAGTGTGTAGTAAGGCGATAACTTGAGCAGACGAACGTACAAATACTTATTAATTCCTACTTCGACCGGGGTCCAGCCTTCGTCAGGGCGGTTTTCTTGGGCATACACATGTGTTTGCTTCGGCATGTATATGTTTGCTCGGGCATGCATATATATATATATATATATATATATATATATATATATATATATATATATAGAAAAAGGAGTAATTCACACACAACGAACGTTTCAGCACAGTTTAGTCCGACGTTTCGACCGTGGGACCGGTCTTCGTCTGGGACCGGTCGACCGTGGGACCGGTCTTCGTCGTGGGACCGGTCTTCGTCTGGGCCCAGACGAAGACCGGTCCCACGGTCGAAACGTCGGACTAAACTGTGCTGAAACGTTCGTTGTGTGTGAATTACTCCTTTTTCTATACTATCAGAGCCTGCGTGATACTTCCTATAATCCCTTATATATATATATATATATATATATATATATATATATATATATATGCACTCTCATAATAAATACTCTCGTTCATCATAATGGAGCGCTTTGTTTCTTCGTGACGGTGTGAACTTGTGGTGTGGTATACATCACCCGTATCAAGGTTTTCCTTGCAACTTGCAAGCCTGAGAGTTCTGAGGTATGTGTTTTCCTGCCCACGGAAAGAGACGAGAGACAGTGTCGAAGCAAAACTGAAATGAAAAGTAAACAGTTATAAACGAGATGGAATGCGCTATTGACACCACTTCTGAACAGTGGCTGTATTTCGTAGCATTGTATCTTATTTTGTCAAATTGAATATCGCATGTCTCATGCAAACGCTGGTGGCGGTAATAATACACACTCCATGGTCGTCTAGGGTTTATATAGTGCTAGGGTGCTGACCCGAAAGTCGTGCAGGTCGAATCCCGGCCGCGGTTGCCGCATTTTCAATGGAGGCCAAACGCTATAGAGGACCGTGTGGTGTGCAATGTCAATGCACGTTTAAAAAAAAACAAAAAAACACACAGGTGGTCAGAATTTCCGGAGCCCTGTCATATGGCGTCCTTGATAAGCATATTGTGGTTTTGAGACGTTAAATAGCAATAGAAATCATTATTGTTTATAGTTCCGACAATCACGGTAGCGCTGCGCAGTGCAAGCGCATTACAAAGCCCAGAGAGAATGTGTGGAAAATAAAAATAAAAATTTACTTACTGCCTACGAGAACAAAAATGTGTTAACGCGCATTTTATTTGACTCAAGTTGGATAATTCGTGTGCTCCTTCCGCTCTATGAAGTAAAATTAATTTTGACGTTAGATCAGGGCTTTTGAATGCCGAGAGCACAGAAACCGCGTCTTTCTAGAAGGGGTTTGCGTGAGGTACTCGTTCTGTACGGAATCATTTTGTGTTTTTTTTTAATTTTTTTTCTCTTTTTCAAGCTTCTCAGCAGTCACGTATCTCTCCTGTAAAGTATCTCTCCTGTATCCATCCCCCTTCGTATAAACAAGAAAACTTCTTTCGTTTCAACTGAGATCCGAAGCACATATCCCAACCTATCGTGACGTTGGACAGATAATTAGCAAATGGGAACAAAAAATAACGGAGAGTTCTTTGAAACAAAAAAGTACTTGTAAGGTGGCCCATGCACTAAACAGGCATTCACAAAAAAAAAAAAACTTTCGTGGAGGAGCGTTTGCTCGGCAATTGTGGACAGCAGCACTTTATGTAGCACAAATTTTGTTAATACAGACACAGAGATCCCTCCAAAGGCACTGACAGGGCGCGCTAACGGGTCGCTGAGGAAAATGGAAAAAAAAAATCTCCCGAATACACACAGGCGTGTCTGTCACATCCGTTACAACAAAACTATGCACGTGGCGTCACTATTTGAGCATCGCGACTCGGGCGGAGTGTGCACGTCAAATCAACGGCGACATTGCCAAGATACATGCGTGCAATAGCTCATCATGTGAGTATGTGTGCGTATGTTTGGCTATTGTATACCTTTATCTTAGTAACATCGCAATGTGGTGGCATCGTTAATTTTTTTTTTACTTTGGCGGGACCTCGTGTGACAAGCGCAGCCTGGTCAGATGTAGCTGCCGATGCTTTTTAGTCAGCAACATGTTACATTGAACGCATGCCTAATTTTTGTGTTATGATGAGGGTTAATGAGCTATAGGTGAATTCCTGCTGCGTTCAAATAGATAATGCGCACTTTACGTAGCCACGTTACGTACTGTTTAATATATGTACATCTTGACGCAGTGCGATCAATATGTACTGAAACATCGGACATTTAAATTATTTATTTCATTATGCTACTTCTATGTTATCCTCATAAAGCACGCTGGTAGCAAAAACAAATATGCGTATTTGTTTCTGTCACAGCTGTTCCCATTAGTATACACAGTGAGATCTAGGTCAGATGAAATACGGCGCCCGTAGCATAAGTCGCGCCGACCAATCGTTCTTGTTCCCATGCGTACTCATGTGGTTGTCACGCTGCTTACCCAATGATGTTACCTGCACCACGATGCACATTTTGGTGCCCGCTTCCTCACCCGATCCATTGCAGTGCGGCGAGCATAACCGACACTTTGCCTCAGCACCACATGCCTGGCACGTATCTGGACAAGGGCACATAAACTGGTCAATGACAAGTTTTATGTCCTAGTTATGTTTTGGGCTCGCGCTCCAGCTGTCCACCACAGTGTAAATGAACTCGTGCGAAATTGTTTAAGATTGCCGCATGCCCCTCTTTTTATAATGACGGGCCTCATTCACGGATATTATTGCTGAAGATATGATCACTGACCGGCCGCTTTCATCAATACGACGTTCACTATCACCTTAGCGTGGTCATTCTACGCGTTCATTTATTTTTTCGTTTAATAAACAGGGGCCGAATTAAAAAAAAAAACAAATCTTCGTGAGTGATTTCTGGTCACTGTCTGGCTTTTCTAATGATATATTCAGCGTCGCGATGGCTAAAAGTCTCTTTAGAAATAATTCTATAGGAATATCTTCGTGTGGTTGTAAAGAAAAAAAAAACTTTCATTATAACCCCTTGACAGCCGTTATGTGACTGTGTCCGTATTCATAAGAACATCTCGCACTGTAAATATTCGTATGCGAAAGGTTCGGCCGTTGCTGAGCCTGGGCGTATACCTGGGTGGCGAATTGCGAACAGTGCTTTACAAACAGGATATCTTGCAAATTCATCCAAGCTTTGCTCAGTATTTGCGTATCGCACTTCTTCTGTCGCTTACGCGGGTGCAGTTTGACTCGTTTAGCATTTTTTCTCTTTTCGCTACTGCAATTCCTCTAGTGTAATTAAAGCGCCCTTTATTGCAGCTGACATCTCTGACTATAGCGCGTGCTATATTGATGTAATCATTGCATACTTATTACGCAGATGGCCTGTCTGCCCTCTTCCGTGAGCGGACGTCGCTGTCGAGGGAAGAGGAGCACGACGACGGCTACTGCGACAACAGCCTCGCCCAGCCGACCAGCATGAGCCAGCTGGCACATCGGCTGCTGCTCTCCAGGGTCGCATGTTTCCCAGGTGGGTGAAGGGTCGCTTCATTCCCTTACTGCTAAATAATTTATTACGATAGCAATGGACACTCTCGGCTGGAGTTTGCCGGCGTCGGCGTCACTTACCGTATATGTATATACTTACCTGTAAACATGTAAAGGCAAAAAAAAATGATTCGGAAAACGACTCCGCCGCACAAAATCAAAAGTTGGGACTTTTGGCTCGCGAGTGGGAGGCGTTAACCACTGAGCTACGGAGGAGCATCTCCTTCAACGTTCAAATGGCAAGCTATTTATATCTACCACTTACCGCTGGTGACGGGAATCTTCGGGGGGGGGGGGAACTACTATCATGTTTTCAGCATTACCAGCGAGATTGTGCAGTGAGCGCGCGTTGCCAGATTCTCACGATGCGGCGGCGCACGCGATTTCATCTCCCACGCGTACTTTGCCCCGCGGAGAGGGGAAGCTCTCGCGAGCGCTCGCTTATCTGGCGACGGAGACAGTCGCACGCCTAGGGCTTTCACCGGAACGATTTTGTTGTAGTTACCGGGCGCACAATGGTAACTGCACTCGTAGCACAGTCCCCACTTGCGAAAAGGGCGCGCTTTTCAGATACAGTGAAGTAACAACTGAGACGCTTATTCGCGTTCATCTGTGAGTACGTTTAGTGCGTCATTTGTGCGTGAGAAACGCGGGGCATGTTTCGATCTGCTTGCCATTTTCCTTGTGATCTTCCAATTTGTTGCTATCGCGTTCATTGCTTCGCCTTTGCGGCAAAGCTGTGACTTTTTTTTTTCGTTACTTAATACACGTCCTCTTCGGTGCCATATCTTTTCTGAATTTCGTGTTTCGAAGAAATGATAACAAAAGATTAAACGAAGCCTAGTAAAGGGACGTAAAGAGTACAGCATCTGGCTGATTACCAACATGAACGTTTTCAAACATGCATAGTAACCTTTTATGGTCGCTTGAGGCCCGAGCTAATACATTTTGGTGGCATGTAATCAGACTATTCGGAAGCGTGGTTGATGGAGGATACATTTTACCTTTATGGGTGGCTCCTGATAATGCAGTTATTTTTGATGATTTATTTAACAATTCTAGAGACACACTGGCAAGTAATATTAACATATGTTGACCTCAAACGAGTGTCTCGATTGTGTTTGTATACCATGTGGCTTCCCTTTGTTCATACGTTATTGCCATTTGATTTTTTAATCTAGCATATGAAAATGCTCAAAGGAATCGCGCCCTCATCGCCATGACTTTCGTTTATATAAGCCTTTATTTAACGGTGATTACAAAGTCGTTATCTATTTTGGCCAGCTGTTCATGATCAATGTTTCTTTTTTTCAAATACAATGAATGTTTTTGGCTGGGCGGTACCGACATTAAACTGATGCGCGTAAAGCGTTCGATGAAAACTAGTGATGCGCAATTCCACCTTTTCAGTGAGCGGAAATTATTGATGTATACATAAACCATTTAAAAGTTTTAACAATGGTTAAAAAAGTGTGGCAGCAACGTTTGCATTGATTATTTGGGTTTGCTTGGGCACGCTGTCTCTCTATCAGAAGAAATGTTGCCGTTGGAATAGAGTAATCGCACGCAAGTTCAATAAAAAGTGTATATATAAAGTTGAGAACAATGCTAAAATATTCACAGGAAGCGTCATCTCCTTAGTTTTTGTGTCTGCCTGCTCGTACTTTGTAGGCCATCTTGATCTGACATACAAGGTCATGCAGCGTAATGGATTTTTTCTCGGCAGTTGCGTCAAATTAGCGTGACTACTTCTGCTCAACCATTTCGACGCTAAAGAACTGACCCTGCATTGGTTTTCAACTTCAAAGAGAAAGAAGCGACAGAGACTGCGGTACATGACCACGACACTCCCCAACGCTGTGTGTACCTTGCAGCGCTTTGATAATGCTTATTAAGTCGCTGCCTTAAACGCTCATCCGGTGACGTCGGCTGGTTTAGTTGTCGTGCCATCGATGCATCCTAAGGAAATGCAAAACAAGCAATGAACAAGAGAAAGAGGAAGGAGACGGGATGGCACACATCAGATTTCGTATCCTTACTGGGCGCTTCCAAGTAAGAGCAGCGTAGCAGAAGGGTGTAGCATCTCTCCGCGCGCGTAGTACCGAGAAACCGACGTGCTCGGAGTCCACGCCCGCAATCTGCGCCATCGCCCGTTAGTTGCCTTCATGAAACCGCGGTGGCGGCGATGCTCAGTTGATGTGGTATGCTCACCGGTCTGCTGCCGCGTAACAGCGCCCTTGGATCCGCGAACCGGTTGATCGTCGGCGTCCGGCAGTGTGCACCCGCGGCGTTGCTCGGTGGGCGCTCTTCCGTTCGGCGTTCTTTCTGTCTGCTTCTTTGCTTGCTTCGTCTACTATGCACCCGCCATCGTGCCTACTCCTCCCTCCCGCGAATATTTCTCGGAGACTTTTTTTTGTCGTCGCCGCATCCTGTGCGCGCCCGAGCTTCGTAGCCCCGCAGCGACTGCCGGTCGCCGTAGCGACACTTTTTCTCGCCATCTTCTTTACGACTTGTTCTGACTGTTCCCGTTTTCAAGTTTTACGAGTCACGTCGGACGTCCTTGCTTTGCTTCCGACACTGATAAAGAAGAGGCGCAGGAGCGCCGCTGAAGGAGCGGCAATTTGAAATATAGGCGCAGGAGAGAAGGGTTACCCTTGTTGTGCGTGGCTGCTAGTACGCCCCCCTCCCTCCCGCAGGGCGCCGTCGAATGTGAGGAAAAGCGGGCACCTTGTGCCGCCTTGATGGCCGGAACCTGCATGCGCGAGGACGAAAGCGGACGCTCTCGCTGTTGCCGCGGGATGCGCGGTCTCGGCGGCGTGCTGAACCACCTGTGGCCGCCCCCGCCTTTTTTCACTGGACCGCTTTCGGCACGGCCTCACGCACGTACGAAGCACTTTTCGCGGGCGCGAAACTGGAGGTCACGATCACCTCCCTCGCCCCTTTTTCTCATCCTGAAAGCCGTTTCGGGCCTGTTCGTTCCCTTTCTTTCCGGCTATTTCTTTTTGACCGCCTACTCTCCTTTCAGACATAAAAAGTCGTTTGTACGGCGCGTCGGCTTTCTTTTGTGCTGCCTTCTTGGCGCGAGTTAGACGGCGGGTGAGTCAAAGTCGGTGTGAAGTTCACGGTCGCAGTGAGCCAACTTTGCTTTGGCTCATTACCGAAGAGGCCGGTCCTTTCGCAGACTGCCCTTGACGACCGACATTCCTCCTTCCAGAGGCGTGGTTGCCTAGCCAGATAGCTCAGTCGCTATAGCCCGTTCACGAGGAAAATCTTAACGGAAACGGTATTAAGTCAGTCAGCCCGTCATTTGCGACTCCTGCACGCATCTCCGCTGCGAAATTTCTTGCGCTGTCTATTATTCCTCTCGGTCAGAGCAAGCTATTGCATGTCTCTCGCAGGTTTGTCCCGCAAGATTGTGCGCCTGTATAATCGTTGCATTTTGACGCAGCTTTTCGACACGAATGCCCCTAAACTGTCACTTGTCTCTGCAGTAATGACAGTCTTCAATGCCGGATATGAAACGTGCGCTCAAACACAGTTGAATAAAAGTATAAATAATTGTACTTGGTCAGCTGATATTCAATGTGAATACATTGGTATTTGCAAAAAAAAAACTTCTTTGAGGGTTTGCATGTAAGGAGGAGGAGCGCAAATGCGTGAGCACCACTAAGGACGTGCTCGTGGCGAGTCTGGCGAGAACTGTTGACGTCCTGAAAGGAGAGTAGGAAATCGTCCACTACGGGCCACCAGGTTTCATCGCAATCTACGCTTGCGGCGTCTTTCTCCGCGCAACGAACCTTATCGAAACGGTGACTAGAATGCTGTGGGGCGTAGTGAAGAGAGTCTGTAGGAATAAAAACAACTCCTCAAGAGTATAGCTGCGTGTGTCGCGAGTGCGCCATCGACTCGATTGAATTCTGATACGGCAACCGGCTATATATCTACACGACTGAAGGGTAGATACGAGGTTTAGCGGGTTTAGCGCCTCTCTTTCACTAGATACTCCTTTTACTGGCTTTCAGACTCGAATTCGAGAGTATAGCTCGTACATACATCACCTACTCGGCTGCAGTCGCCTTCGCTCTGTCTTCCGGGCATTAGCTTATCATCGCTTCTTTGAACTGTATTGCATTATCGGCTTGTTTTGGCCGTAATACAGTGTGAACACACGCTGAATATGAGAAACCTTATACCTCAAAATGCTTGTCAAGACGAGCGGCTACAAACGCCACTTATGCTGTGCGACGCGTTGTTTTACCATTCCTGGAGGCATATGAATACGTGCTTATCATCCGTACATGCAGAAATATACCCTATGGCTGCGAATAGTGGTGAGTCTGTATACCATAGTTATTTGATAGAACGCGCAGATGAGAGAAATGTTGTAATTACAGTAGCCACGAGGTAAAGACCTCGTTTGCGCACTTTATTGTGACTGATTTAGCTATATAGCTGCAAGCAAACTCCTGCGAAGGCTTTGCGTTTGCGGTGCATGTCCTCTGCGTAACCACTTGGATGAGCTGGTAATGCGTGAATCGGCGTATACAGGTAGCGCGAAAGAAAGAATAACAAAAAAAAAACAGGGCAAGATGAGGAATGCGGACTCGCGTTGCCCCATTTGCACTTGTGGCCACCTTTTCAGGTGCAGTACCTACAACGAGCCATGCGTATAGACTACCCGAGTGTAGTCTCCAAAGCAAACACTCGACGGAGAGACAGTGCCGAATCGTGGAGCGCGGTAAAAATGGCTCGGGAAACGACGACAGGCGGTAGGTGGGTGGTGAAGGCGCGGCGTGCGACAGGTCGGCGTGACCTTGTTGCCGTGGGTCGTAGCTCTCGCGGTGCCCCGTCAGCAGGTCTGCTGATGTCGTTGACTCGCTGCCGCGTTTGCTTGCCAAGTGTGCGTGAAGCGAACAGAGAGAGAGAAAGAGAAAACACTGTCGTGACACCAATAGTCTGTGAACTCCCCAGTCCCGTAGCGGT